ATAAGGATTGGGATGGTTGATATTAGAATTAAATACAAAAGAAATAAATAGAATTAAAAGGGAAAAGCAAAAGGAGAAGAATTGATAAATAAATAAAAGAACACACAATGCATATCATTATAAATACATATGAGTTTAGAATATAAGAAAAGAGAAGTTAATCCTGATGGATTTGTTCGGCAAAGATTGATGAAATATTTGACAAGGCAGAAGGAAATCATTTTCTATCTGATACGAACAACTTGAGTGACTAAACAATCAGTAAAAAAGATAACAAATAAAAACGTCATAAATTATAATTTACACAAAAGAAAAAAAATGTATAAAAAAATTTTAAATTCAAAAGAAATAAGAATTTTATCATAAGTTTATTGTTATGCTAAGCACACATCACAACTAACATTAAAGAGTCACAATATTATTTTTTTGTGTAACGGTTGAAGTACTTTTATCTGTAAGAGCAGTTACGGATGAGGATGTACTGAGCAAATGTGGATTTGTTTGCCAACACGTATTTGCATCTCAGCAGTTCTTCGTTCTGTGCAGCATACAAAGCAGCATCGAAACACAATATTTATCTCAGAAAGCCAAACTACAGCTGTCATTAAGTTATCTGACCAAAACTGCAAGCGAGTGTCCAAAAAATAACTTACATGTTTTTGTCATGGATATGAGCATATGAAATGCATAAATTTTGTTAGAATTTTGTCTCTGTGATGCAATTTACACAATCTCAACTGTAAATAAAGATAAATTCATTAATGGAAACTGATAAGAAAACACTGATTCCCCTCGATTCCCCTACACAAAAGCGGCCTGCAGCTGCAACAGATACATTTAATGTAACTCACTTATCACAAGAACAGAGTCGACTTCCATGTAAAATTTGTTCGCTTTTAAGCAAATATGTCGTACACGTTCTAATTTAAATAATAAAAAAAAGTTGCTCAAACAAAATTTTAAACTATTTAACAACATTTCTAAGCATTTTAAATATTTTTCACCTACAATTTTTTTTCCATTTATATTTTGTCTATTTGCCTTCGGCATCCGAGGTTTACGTTCTTCTAAGCTTTAGGCCTGCAGCAGCCATGAGTACTTGTTTTTCGAATGTTTTTTATATGTCGAAGGTGCACAAATGTTTGTTTACCTCAAATATTTGTATCTTTTGTTGTGCTGTTACAACAGCTGTAATCAACTGTTCTAAAAATTACCAAAAATTAAAAAAAAATATAAAAAATTTGAGTTTAAACACTTTTTATGATGCTGACTGATAGTGAAGAATTTCGAGAAAAATAGAGACAAATGTGTGCCTGACATTGTTTTTTTCCAAAAAAAAAAGATATTACCAAACGTGTTTCTGTTTACCCTAAAATTTTAAAGATTTACGGTGCTTCATAAAAATAGTTGATGTTTTAATTTTAGATTTAATTTTACTTAAAAGTTCAGTTGTGAATGAAATATATCACACACAAAACATATTAAATTAATAGATTTTAATATTTTTGAGTGCAGATTAGCTAGGGAATTCAATGAATACTGCAGTAGTTCAAAGAAAGATGGGAAAGAGGTAAGTGTTACTCATCTAATTCGTCACTATCTAGCACTCGTCTGGTTATTTCTATCCAGAATTGTTTTTTTAATTCCAAAACATCAAATTGGATACTATTACATACTTGGATACTCTCAATGTGTGGATTAAAGAAGTAGCTCGCTTCAGAACAACACACTGTGATTTTCAGATTAGAAAATGCCTTAAAACTCTTACTTTTAGTTCTTCGTGGTATCACAAAGTATCTTATGTGAGCTCACTTTGCATTTGTTCCTAAGTTTCTTTTGTTATGTATAACTAAGAATTACTATATTGAAAGGTTTCTATATATATAATATTTTATTATAATAATATCACAACATATTTGAAATGCTAGTGTATTGAAACCTTTAAAAGTTTAAAAAATCGAATACATATAATCCCCGTTTTGTTCTAATTTTTAAATAAAAAATAAATTACTAAATCTACATATTGAAGTTTAATTTACTTAAAAGTGGAACAGCATCCAAATATCAATTTATCTTCCAAATAAATCGATAAAAAATTTGCTTTCAGTTCAAATTTGGCATTTTTAAATTCTAAATATGCCTTGAATACTATGTATAAAACTTGAATATTTCTTTATAGACTTATAATCTTCTTCAAAAAGATCTCAACTTATATAATCTATTTTATTAAAATACAGTGAAAATACTTCTTAAAGTACATTTATCCTTAGTTAAATAGGATGAATAAATAAAATTAATTTCCATTGACCTTAATTAGCTATTTTTCACTGTTTTGCTATCACATTCTACGCAAGATATTTTAAGATAGAAAAGGACATACTAAATCCATCCCATCTAATTTAGTTACATTAATAATTCTTTCGTCTTTATCGATAAACAGTCTAACAAGCTAATTAAAAATTATTTTCCTAATCATCTATTTCTTCTAAAGGCCAGAGCCGGGAAGATTTTAAAGTAATCAACTTAACTCTTCGACTCAACAAAAATTCAAATATTCTTTATGAATCAGGACAATGTTATAAATTTGTTTTAAGTTTCTTATTTATAATTACGGGAATATTTTAAAACTAAAACATTAACTTAATTTATTTGTTTAAAGGACCATCGCTGTACATCAGCTTTTTCAAGTTTATCAGCTGTTTCCTTAGTGTATAATTTTAATACTCAACGGTTAACTATTGAAAAACTCTAAAAATTTTTCAGAATAAAAATATTTAAAATGAGAATAATAAAAATATATTTAATTAAAACAAGTATTTGTAATATAATAAAGTCTAATACTAAGTTTTAAACTTAAATATAAAACCTCATTCCATGTATTTTTATATGGGTTTTGAATAGATTTAGAATGAAAAACTCCACTTATTATTGCATTTAATATTGTATTGTAAGGAAAGCAAGTTTAATTTTCCAAAATAAATTTTCTAATAGCCAAAACAGCTTATTTAGCGAAATTCAAAACAACAATGAAATAAACAATAATAAAGATATTATTAAATTTTAGTTTATTATGTTATTAAAAATAAAAAAAAAAAGACACACCATTATCTGTTCATCGAATTATTTCTGTATAACAGGTTTTTTTCACTGAACGATCTTATTAGTAACTACGAGCTATGCTTTCATTTAAACAAAATTATAAACATCAAACATTTAATTTAGTTCTGATTAATCTGGAATACTTCTAGTGTAAGATCTCTTCTTTTTGTTAAACGTATCAGCGCCATCTTCATAACTAATGACATTTCATTCTCATAAAACACCTTCTCCACTCAATTGGCACGTCTTCAGAAATTCCTACGCAATCACAACAAAAAACACACAAACGAAGAAACAAACAAAAATTCAACCCTAAATTATATATAATTTTATACATTTTCCTTTGTGCTTATGTTTTACTTTACAAAAAGAAAAAAAAAACAAAATCAAAACATTCCAACAGCCAACAAAACAAATTCATTCATTCATTCATTCGGTTTTCTACCCAATAAGCAAAAAAATGCCAGTGTAAAAGCAACAACAATAAAAACAACACTGAAATTCCATGGCAATAAATTTTTAACAATTTTGTTTTGATCGGCGTATTCGTTTGGCAAGCAAAATGTTGTTAGCACATTTCAAACCAAAATGTTGCAAGCGGTTTGTTATCAATCGAGCTTGTATGAAAGTAAGACACAACTTGGTGCTATGAATTTAACTGTAGTTTTTAATTTAAAGAAATACCATTTTTTTAAATAAAAAGTTAATGAAAATTAAAATCAAATGAACTAATTAATAATATTTAACAGTATTATATTACTAGTGTTGTTAACTGTTGTAAACAAAAATGTATTTGCAACATAATTTTATCAGAAATTGATATTGTGTTTGATTTGAGAGTCCAACAAAATTGCTTGTTTGAGTTACTAAAGCTGTAAGCCCTGTAGACACTGCAGTGTTTTTAACCAAATACTTAGAATTAATTGTATTTATCTAAATTATTTTCGTATTTTTTTAATTATAAGGTAAGAAATCAATAAAACAAAAATACAAATAATTTTTTATTTAATATTTTAAAATATCTCATTAAAATTTTTTATTAATCCAAGTCAAAATAGATCATTCATAATTTTGTGTAATATTTGTGTAATTCCACTCTCAAATGAAAAGAGCGCTCTTATAAGAAGAAAACATAAAAACAGAATAAAACAAAAACAACAATTCCTCTGCTTTTAAGAAATGTACAATTTTAGTTCATATGCTCAGTCTGTTTTGAACTTCTTTCGAGTGTGGTTATGTTACGGGTTTTCGTTGGTCTGGCGGACAACAAAAATCTGTCTTACGGGAAAACGTACGCAATTGCATTTCGCGTACGTAAAAATAAGTCGCTTCAGATAAGCAAATTTTCAAATAATGAAAACGATTGTTTGAGAATACAAAGTGAATAACGCGAACAAACTATAAACAAACGAATTAATTGTTTATTTTCTTATACGATTTTAAAACGAATTTTAATGGAAGATTACAAAATTTAATTGAATCAAATTAAAATTACAAATGTTATTTTTTGTTATTTTTGTTGTAATAAAATTAGTGGGAGAATGTGTATGAAGCAATTACAAAAATATTGAATAAGAAAGAAAAAAGAATTCCATTTGTTTATAAAGTTGCTGCGCCTTAAATTAAAATTTATATACAAAAAAAAATTGTTGAAAAACGAAGTGTTGAAAAAAATATTAAAGATATATAAGTCTTTTCTAATATAATAAATTTAAATTTAATTTTTACATATAAAAATTATTCTAAGCCCTTAAAGTGTAGTGTTATTTTTACATAAGTTGTGAAAAATATTTATATAAATATTATTATCAATTTTATTGGATCGGAAATATATTTAAAATAATACGAAATATTGAAAAAAAATTTTTTTTTAAATTTTTTTATATATCTGAATAATATTACAAATTATTCTAAAAAGAATTGGTGTTCAAACTTGTAAGCAGTTTTGATTCGGAGACGACTAACATAAATGGTAATTCCAAAGTCCCATTATAAAAACCCATTTAAGGTTTTTTCTGTGATTAATTATGGATATAAATTATATTGGATTTTTTATTAAACTTAAAAATAAACTCAAACATTTTTTGTAGTAGTAAAGTTTATTCATTTATATACTTTATTAAAATAGGTCCTAATCATGTGAAGAAACTAATTTATAAAATAGTTATATACACAAAAATTATAGAATTCGTAGCATGAATAACATAAATTTTCACTATAGTATACCTTATTAATGAACTAAGTATTAATAAGTACTTAATTGATAAATAATTTAATAATAAGTAAATAATTAATTAATATAAAATAATTTTGTACATAAAAATGGAATATACAATATTTATAAAATAAAAAAAAAGAAACCAAATTTAATTTAGCTGGGCTTAAGGTCGTATATTTAATAGTTCGAATTATTTACAACATTATTAAATTATTTAATAATAATTTATATTAATTATTATTTAATTAATTAATTAATAAGCAATAATTGAAAATTATTATTGTTATAAAAATTATTAATAAAATAATTATTAAGTTATTAAATTATTTTTAAAACGTTTGTTTACTTTTTCAAAATGTGACTTTAAGCAAACTAAATATTAAAAAGAAATTATATATTGTACTACTCATATTGCTAGACTACAGCTAGACAGCTTATATAAAGAAGGGTTAGGTTCGTTATTCTTCAAAACTCCAATCCGTATAGGTTCATTGGATTGTTATGATTAATTCACAAACCATCTATTATTAATTTTGCTCGCATTATTTTAATATATAATACATATGTTCTAATTATTTTATAAAATATATGTTTACTTTGTTTTCAATGGTTTCTGACACAAATTTACAATTATTATGAAATGTTTTGTTGTAATTTTTATCCTTACATATATGAATTCATAGAAAGTCGTGACTTTTGCGATTTTACAGTTTGTATCCATATAAGTCTATAACAATATAATTAGTTTTAAATAAAAATATTTAAAACTTTAATTAGCTCTAAATTATTATTATGAAAATTGGGATTTAAATATATTTTTATTATGATTTTCTGCATATATATATTTTCATTTAAATATAGGTATATTTAAAATAAAATTTTTATTTTATAGCGTACTTTACATTAATCTAATGTACTTTTCTGTTGATAAATATAAAGTAACTTTTTTACCTAAGATTTACTTTTAATGAAATTTTTATTTTGGACTAGTTAATGTCAGGCAAAATATACAGCACTCAAGATAAATTTATAACACTGTAGATGTTATAAAATTATTAAAATTATTCGGAAACTAACACCTCCTGTTATATACTATTTGACAATTATATTTAGGAATTACCCTAAAAATTTTCGATTGGGTCACAAAATCGAGCAAAAAAGATAGAACAAGAGCAAATCTAAAAATGTCAATCGAAAACGTTATAAATCATAAAATTCCTGGTTTTTTAATTTATAATAAATATTTAGATACACATAGTATATCCTTGCTGGAAAATAATATGCTAGCGAATCTTATTTTCCAAATAAACCCACAGATGTTCTATAGGACTAAGGACTGGTGATTCTGGTAGTGTTTGAAGTTGCTTGAGAGCATAGTACAGCATCCAAATCCGTACGATGGGTGTTGTATAGTTAGAGTCGTTGTCCTGCTGAAACAAAAAGGTTGCCTCAGGTCCTAACATTCTGACATTTTCTTTCAAATTTGTTTTTAGAATATTTAGATAGCCATATTTCTCCATTGTATCTTGTACAAATTCAAGTCTGACCGCACCATTACTTGCTATACACCCCTAAATCATTACGCCTTCACCAACACGTTTTACTGTTTACTGTTTACCATATGTTGTGCATAATTTTCTCCTTACAAGTTATCTAACTTTGATTCAAAATATGTAAAATTAACTCTCATCGGAGAAAATAACTCATTTTCAGAACTTTATAGGTTTATTTATACGCTTTCTTGCAAAGCTTAATCATTTTATTCTATTATATCTGGATACGTATGGCTTCTTTCCTGCAATCAGGGTATAATACATGCATTTCTTCAAAATTTTCCGCAGAGTTTTAGGACATATTTTGTTTTCAAGTATTTCGGCTAGTTCAGCTAGTTTGAAGGCTGTTACTCTTGCATTTACTTTCACCTGGTTGATTATGCTACGTCTTTCTCTATTTGACAAAATTGAGGGGCGCCGAGTGCGAGGTTTAGAAACTTAAGTACTGATCTCTTTGAATTTATTTGTAATTCTCTGCACAGATGAATATTGACGACCAATATCTTCAGCAATTTTTCTTTGGCTTACGTCATCTTTCTAAAATTTAAGAGTTATTTGTCGCTCACTAAAACTAATTTCACGTCTTTTATTTTATATTGTAAAAATTTATTGCTTATATAAAAAAATATTATTAAATGATTAATTTTTAGACTTTTTAGAAAGTCAACTAATAATTAAATATCATTTAATGACACTTTTATGCTTGCAAGCGAATTTAAATTAGCGGTAAATGTAAATATTAAGAAATATCCGTAGACTTTTTCTACTTCAAAAATTGCTACTTTTGCATATAATAGTGCTCAATTTTTTTTTTTAAAGAATAACTGTTTAGTTTTTATATTGGAACTTTATTGTTGTTTCTTTGGTTAAAATAAATCAGGAAATAAAAATGAATTTGAGTAAAAAATAAAAAAGTTATGCGTAATTTAAGAAAAATTCTGTGAATATCCGTAGACTTTTTCTACTATGTGTATATATTATAATCTCATTTCTATTCCTGTTAGATAGAACAGGGCTCTGAGCTATTTATGGTACAAAACAGTGCAAATATTAAAGAAATTATGTATTACTTTCTTTTTTTTCTATCTTCGGTCTTTTTTTATTTGCAGCATAGTGAGGGCCACCAATTCTCTTCCATTTTTGACAGTACATTGAAAGGTTTGCGTTCAGATATTATAGTTAAAATGAACAAATATTCGCCGGAAATGTTCAAATACAGATCTTTGAGTGATTTGTTTGAAAGATATTGTTTCAAAAATGCTTTTCTAAACATAATAACTATTTCTATTTTTCATTTTTCTGATCAAAATTGATCAATTTTTTTTAAATTCTATCTTAATCCGCGTGTTTTAGTAATTAATTTTTTTTATTTATCAACTTTTTGTTTTAATGTTTTATTAATATTGATTTGACATAAAATTCTTGTCCGTTATATGTTTTTCATTTCTAAAAAATATTTATTTTCAATTTACTATTTCACATTTCTAACGGGAGTGATTCGCCAATGGTTCTCGCTAATATTTGCTAGTTTTGCCAACAAAAAAAAATTCTTTAGTTATTAGATTTTTACTTATAAAATAACAAGTTAGCAAAATAGTTTAAAATCGTTTAGTGGTTTTGTTGAAATTTCATTTTGAAAATATTTATTTAGAATTTTAAACAATATATTGTTTATAAATATTATATAAATTTTTTTCTTTGCATTTGTATTAATGTTAAATATTTTTTTATATAGATATATATGTATAGATAGATCAATAAAATATAGAGAACTGGATTCTCATTTGAACGGGAGCCTTGGGACTAATAGATCTTTTATGTTAACCTTCTCATATGACAGTTTTAAAAAGAAACTGTATTTTTTTTGCAAAATATTTATTTTAGTATTGATCTTGGTAATAGCTATGATTGAGTTGAAGAGCTTATTTAATATATAATATAGTTAAATAGGTTATTTATATATTACATTATGTTTATTTTCTAAACAATAAAAGATATTTAAGCAATATTTATTTTTTATTTTATTACATTATGATAAAATTAGTAATTTAATATTAATAACAATTATTATTTGTTACATATATAATTAATATTATTTGAATTTCTGTACACTATCATATGTTCAATCCCTGCTGAATTTTTTTCAAAAAAACCAAATATCTTATAACAATCCCCGACCAACTGTGCTCCATATCTATTCCACCTATAAATAGCAAAAACTACAATTGTTCCAAACATACTCACATATATACATATAATATATACATATATATACATATGTTTTTGTACAATTCCAGATATGTGTTAACATATTTCCTGTATTTTTAGTATTTTGTTCACTTACCACATGCCTCTCTGTTGATCTCTTAATCCTCCCACCAATTGCATTTCTAACACTCAACAAGGTCGAGTTGAAAAAAACACTTCAATTTTTAACTAGTTTGGAAAATGGTCTTCTGGTTTCCTCTTCTCTCCCCACTTTGACTACATAAATTTGTACTTTTCGTTCTAGTGCGGTTCTTTATCTTTCGTGCTCTCTGCGCACTTTTCTTGATAACTCGTTAACCTTATTTATAGCATAGCATTTTTACAGTTAAACGAAAATTACGTATGACTGGCCGAGCGGCGTAATCGTATGTACTTGCATTTATGGCAGCACTCCGTTTCCTACAAAAGACAATAACAACTAAGTTTCGGCGTATTCTATGGCCAAAGTCGTAAAAGTAGACAATTTTTTTTTATTTCTAATATTTTTTAATTCTCTACGTTTTTTTTGTAAAATTGTCGTCATTTTTTTGTAAGTTTTTGTTTTTTTATCAATCAACTTTTTACCGCGCACATTGACGTTTTTATTTAAAATTTTAAACTTTATTTGTTTTTTTTTTTATGTTTTTATTGTTATTTGCTTTGCCGTTGCTGATTGCTAATTTGACAGTTCAACTGTCAACTGCTCGTCGTTCTCTTCGATCGTAAATCATTTTGTTTACAAATTCGATATTTTACAGTTGTTTTTAATATTTTTGCTAATAAAATTTTAATTTAGTTTGGGATTTTATTGGCACAGAAAACCCGTACATTTTATCACTTTGCGTTCCTATTTGGAAAAATTTTTTCTATTTTTTTCTTTTTCTTTTATAATATGTTAAATAATATATAATAGCTTTTTACATGTAAAGTATCGAATAATCGATATTTGGACAT